GAATGAACAATCTGGCCCCACTAAAAGTGTCGAGGTGAACAATACTAACGTCTCTACCTCATATGCAGATAAAGTAACAGTGCAAGATGGGTTCGAGCAGAACAAAAATAATTCTAGTTCTGCTGAAAATGCTTCAAAAACTTGTGATGATAATAATCCAACTGTTGAAAAATTCAAGCCACAAAAATTTGTTAAACAGTCTAATAAATGTGCATGTGCATGTGCTTGTGGAAGTTCTTTGAAACAAACTTCATTTGGACAAGGACCAAGTCACAATCTTATTTGAAAAGACAAACTTGTTTTAACTGTGGGACTCCCGATCACGTTGCTAGAAATTGCCCACATCGTTCATATGTTCCCTACTATGAACAAGGTTGGCAGAACGTGCCAAGGGGAGACCTTCCAAAAGAAATCCTTCGAGGTCATGTTCACGCAATGGTGATTGGAATGCTAAAAAGGCCAAGATTCAGACTCCCAAGGACAAAAAGGGCATGTCGGACAAGAAGCCTAATTCGAGAGATGGTTCTGCCAAACCGAATTCGGTGAGGTCGAATTCATCTCAAGGATTGTCCTCTAGCTTACACTTGCGATTCAAGTCTAAATCAAAAGGTAGTTCCATTTCAAAATCAAGTGTTGAAGCACCCATTAGGTTAAAAATTAAAATGCTTAAACCTAGTTACCAATGGGTTCCCAAAGGTCACATTTTTCAAAATCGTCCAAAAGTCCTGTAACTTCTTTATGTTCCTTATCTGATAAACATGAATGTCATGGGAAAGAGTATCTTGTGTAGATTGTAATGGTAAACCCATTTTCAAAATGGATTGGGTTCCCAAAACCAACTAATCCCGCACTCTGTGTCGGAGCAGCTATAGAGGAATGTCATCAGACTTCGGTATGTTGATAGTGGCTATTTCAGGCACATGACATGAGACATCTCTCAACTGCACGACATTTAAAACTTTAATTGAGGGTATGTGTCCTTTGCGGGAAGGGAGAAAGAAAAGATCACTCAAATGGGGACCGTATTTAACGGCGTGATGAATTTTGAATATGTTAACTTCGTTCTGGAATTGAAACACAGCTGAGGCTAAATACATTGCTGTTTCATAATATTGCTGCTCTCAGGTTATCTGGATGCAACTTCACTTGTTGAATTACGGTTTGAATTTTCTTGATACTCCTGAGTTTTCTTAAAATGATTCGTTTTGAAGACTAAAAGTTTTTTTTGTACATTTTGTATTTTATTTTTCTTTTAGTTAAATTTGTTCATATTTTTTCCTCTGTGCACAGATTTAGGGGGAGAATTAAAATCAAACAAAAAACATAAAATTCAAAAAATCTAAAAATATGTCTATTTTATTTCTTTTTCAGAAAAATAAAAAATCCAAAAATATTTTCACTGTTTTTGAGCGTATTTTAATTTTATTTTTATTCTTAGTTATTTTTATTGTGTGCTAAGTTTATTTTATTTTTTATTTTATCTCAAAAATTTCATTTGTCTTAAAACGCGAATTCAAAAGAAGAAGTTACTCAAGGAGACTGTGTCGGAATTTTCTGTGCTAAAAGAGATCTTGAAAGAAATTGACAGAATTACACTTCACACTACTTTCACAAGGAATTGAAGGCATAAAACCGTACAAATTGTCAGTTATGTAGTTTCTCTGTAAGAACTGTCGTATTCACGGAATTGAAGGCATGAAACTGTACAAACTGTCAGTTAGGCAGTATCGTTTTAAGAACTGTCGTATTTAAGGAATTAAAAGTGTGAAACTGTACAGATTGTCAAAATTGGTCTTGTCAGTTATCTTTACCTAAGAACTGTCATGGCACCAGGGCGATTCACCCAACCGGGAAATAGATATCGTTAAACATCCCACCCAGGGTCTTGACATTCTTTGTGTAATGCAAAACTGCAGAGACTCAAATGTATTCTCGGATACATTCTTCACTGGTAAGGAATTAACGGTCATTGGCACTAGGGCGATACACCTCGCAAGGCACGATTATCGTTGAATGTCCCGCCAAAGAGCTTTGACCTCGTGTCATGCTAAACTGTGGAAATATGTCCTCGGATATTTTTGTCACAGGATGGTTTTGTAAGTTATTCCTAATTAACTCTCACTGGCACTAGAATGGTACACTCAGCTGAGATTCAGAAACCATTGAACGTCTCGCCAAGGGCCAAGTTAACTTGTTAACTTGAAAAACTGTATTGAGATCTTTGATCGAGGATATGTTGGGGCTAACATCAAAATAGCCATGAGTAGTTCTCCGATACTCAACAAATCGCAGTGCGTTCCTCTGTGTTCACACAAATACTGAGAGTTGTCTCCATCTGAGCCAATGCTAGGTCCTTGAACAACTGTGGTGAGAAGGGTCTTTATGACTCTGTGATCCATAAGGACTTTTTAGTCATGGTTACTTTTCAAGACGCATCGGTGATCGTTAAAGAATATTCATTCGAAGGAACAAGAAGTGAAGATTATTTTTCAACACACAACCTTTCAACCCCAGAAGCAAGGCGAAGTTGTATTTGAAGTTATGTGTCGAATTGCATTGAATCCTCCTCAATCAATTTGTTGCTATCTATGAACTTGCTGAAGTGATCCAGAAGAATCGGTCTCTCTGTAATTATATTTGAAGTATTTTCAAAGCTAAAAGTGCTGATTTTCAAGAACCTATACAAGAAGCCTCTATACCCAATGTGCGTTCAAAGTAAAATTTTAAAGGAAGTCCAACTATTCAAGATGAAGTCATTCATGTAGAAATTCATATGTTCTTCTTGAATTCGTAAAGATATCGAAGACACAAGTTGAAAGTCAAGATCAAAGAGAAGATTGAAAAGAAAAGAAAGCTATAAACCAAGGGGGAGATTGTTAGGACATGATTTGTGGTTTATACTTTACTTTACAATGCTTTTAGAGTTCTCGGTCTAGGACCGAAAACACCATGATTTCGGTGGTGTTTGGACCGAAATCACCATAGTGATTTCAGTGGGCTTAGTGATGTTTTCGGTTGGATTTTTGGGTTGGGCCTTTGTAATTAGGTCTAGGTATATATATAGTGTTATTGAAACCGTGTTTATGGTTGGTGATTCCATTAGCTGATTTCGAGTTTAGGGAGATAGAGAGAACCTAGAAACATAGAAATCTTATGTACTAGACTATTCATCAATATTGTGTGCATTGAAGATTCGATATTGTGTTCTTAATTCGTCATAACTGCTTTGTGTTAATCATTAGATTGGGATTCCACACCAATTCTAGTGATTTAGATTGATACCTAGATCGTGATTTTACAAAACAGTTTAATGCTCTTATCTCAAATGATAATTAGGTCCTCATCCTTTCCCGTGCATGGGTGGATATTTTGGTCTATGTGTTTGTTTAACTATAAAGTGAAAGTTGATGGAAATATTACATGTTCTTACTATGCTCAACCTTGAATGATACTTGGGGTCCTTGTTCCTTATCGTTAAAGACAAAAGTTGACGACCTTGCATTGACTGTGATGAGATCGTTAGTGTGGTTGTCAAACTAGCTACCATTCTTATTATGATCAGTCTCCTTGTATGTAGATATTGGACGATTAATTAGCTATATGTAAAGAATACTTTGCTTTATGGGCATGTTTAAAATAATGTATTTTTACATCAACTTATATGTTTTCATGATCATGGGGGTTTTTGTTATTTCTACCATCTTTGATGTTCTCTTTATAGGTTTAGGTAGGCCTCACGAGCCTGTTTTGAGCTGTTTTCTTAGTACGTTTACATGCCCTTGGATTCTTCACTTTTTATTTATAAACGATACCAGTCTAGGACATACATTCTCCTATATGTGGCCAACCTCAGTTGATTACCTCATCACCAACTTACTTTTGAACATTATTGCATATCTCAACCATGAGTTCTCCAGGTCAGATTTATGGGAACTCAACTACGTTCTCTAGATTTCTGCTACACGTAGTCTAATTGGTTTCCTTCATAGTCATCAAAGTATGCAATATAGATTCTTTAGCACATTTTCATGATTAACTACAAACCTTATCATCCATATGATTAACTATAAACCGTAGCACACATATGTCAATACGCAATCCAAATTGGACATCTTTGGCCACCATGTTGTTATCTAATATTATATAGGCATTTAACTTGTACTTTTTAGTATTTTACTTTCACACACACTTATATTTTATCATATTTTCCTATTATGCATATGATCCATGTTAGGCCCACTTTACCACTTTGAAACACATGATCAAGTACATTCGAGGAACTCTAGACCATGGCTAACAACTTCATGTGTCCTCTATTACTAATGTTATTTCCTATTGATCAGATTCCAAATAGGGAAGATATCCCCATACATGGTGTATTATGTATTTCTGGACAATAATCTTATGTATTCGTCCTCTAAGCACCAGGGTGTTATATCTCAATCCAATGTCTTGTGTAGTCATGATAGCTTCACAATCTTCTTTCATGAGTAACACGCCTCGCATACCAGCCATAATTATACATTTATTTATCATGAAAATCTTAGGTGTCATTTATATGTCTACTACTTCGGTTCAACATCATAAAACCAAATCACATTGATATATACTTAAATTTTGTCTGCGACGAGGTAGCTTTAGGACATGTTCGCGTTCTTTATGTTCCTTCGCGTTTTCAATAAAAACATATCTTCACCGAGGGGATTCCTTCATCTTTGGTTCACGAGTTCGGTCCAGTTAGAACATTTTAACCATTCAACTCCATAAAACTTGAGGGGGATGGGTTGGTGTTAGCATATATAAATGATGTATAGACCCATTTTGCATAGCTCATTATTTCCCTTGTAATCTTGTATTTATATATTATTAGTGAGAATATATCAACTCATATAGAAAACACCGTATAATGTAAGGGAAATAAACATTGATGGCTATATACAAAATTACATATTACATTCAAATAATCATAAGATTGCCCTGTGTTAATAAAATCACCATATAATATAAATTAGAAAAGATATTATGATATTGATTCTAAAGTTCGAAATAGTACATAAACATGCATGTCTTAAATTGATACGAAAATTAAATTACATCTATCTCACATAAATTAACCATCGATTTCGGATTTTCAAAATATTACATAAGGTCACATCAGTCCCTCAATTGCTTAAGCGTCATATCATATAGCTTCGAGTCTACCTTGCTACTTCAATCCTGAAAGATCAAAACCCTAAAATACAAAACATGTCTCATTAGTCAAAAGTCAAAAAGTCATTAGCAAAAGTTCATATCACATATATATATATATATATATATATATATATATATATATATATATATATATATCCTTATTCTAATAAATAAATAGGTTTATTCTCCTATTAACAAGTGTCATAATATTAGAATTCCTCATAAATATTATATGTCACTTATCATGTCACTTGTCAACCTATTAATTATACTTTTTAAATTTCAAATTTTAAATTTCCCACTCTAATTACATTAAATTAATAATTGATTCTCCATTTTAAATTTTAAATTTTAAATTTTTTCACTTTAATTATATTCAATAAATAACATTAGATTGAAAAATAAAATGAAATTAATACAGATTATAAAGTGATAAAACTTCACGTATTTATTTAAATCAACGATTATAATTTTACATAACTAAAAAAATATCTCTTAAGTAATAATTTATTTAAAATAATTGATTAATAATTTTGATTTTTTAATATGAAAGTTTAATTAGTTTTATCACCGTGGTTCTCACGGGGTATAAACTAGTATATATATATTGCAGTAACATATTAGATATAATTGTATCAATAATGTTGTGTTTGAATTTCCCATAATATATTGAGGAGTTGAAGCTATTTTTTGGGTTCAAAGTAATAAATCGATGAAGCGCGCGTTAACAAAAACTGAAAGAGGAAAAAGATCAAGGTGATTAGAATGCCATTTTTTTCCTTCTATTTAATATTCAAGATTTCAAGGATCAATTAACTTATTGTCAAATTAAGCATACATCAGTTTATTCTTTTATTCATGTATGGTTCTCTTATAAGTATTTTAAAAATACATCTAAGAAAACAATTTTATCCAAATCTTCATCCCTACTTTATAACAAGAAAATTTGATGTGTTATTTGGATGTAACAAATGATTTAATGAAGCAATATTTACATATTTAAAGTTTTAAGCAGATAACAGAAATATATTAATTATTAATAATATTCCATCATTCTTATTTGTTAATATAACCATGAAATATGGAAGTATACTTACGGTGTTGATGCTTCCAGAGATGGATCCATTCGGTATATGCCCAGCCCACTGTTGCAAAAACGAGAGATCATTTAATAAACCCTAATACAGATTAATATCTTACTACTTTTTATTATTTTTAACAGTTTATAACACAAAAAATGTAATAATTTGTTAAGATTAATTAATAATTAAGCAGAAATTAGATGTAGAAACGGGATTACGTTTTTTGCTGCGGTGCTGAAAGCTTCTCGATGAGGTATTTGAGGATTTGAAGCTTTGATGCGTTGTATTTCCTCTCTGATTAATCAAAATTTCACGAAAAGAATAAAAGAAATCGAATATTAAATATTTGTCGAAAGAAAATGTTTGGTTTTGTAGAAAACTCACTTCATGAATCGATTGTAAGCAGATGGGAGCCTGTGTTTCTTCTCAGGTGCTGTATATATGGCCAAGAACAAGAAACATATTTATTTTAAAAAAATGATGATAAATAACTTGAGAGATGAAGAGGAAGCAATAGTGATCAGTACGTTTTACGACAAATGGAGCTTTTGGGGATGTGGGCTCGTTTGATGTAGATGACGAAGAAGATGAAGATTGGCCCCTTTTGAGATCACCAGAGAAAGCAGACTGCTTGCAAGTTTAACACATGAAATGATCCTTAAATCCCAGTTTAATTATTTAGGGTTATGTAAATTATATAAACGTATGTTCCTAATTTTCTTTTTGGGTTATCATTAATTTATACGATTTGAAGATCAACGAAAGTACAAAACCAAAGAGTTTAAACAAGGGTATGTACTTACTAACTTACTTGAGGGGTACTTACAAAAAGTGTCGTTTCTTGTTTTTATGTTGTTGGTCTCTATAACCATTTTACTTGATATTTTGAATCAAAACAATCATTATAGGCCAAAAAAATTCCCAAAATAAGGCTGTACATGTAACAATATATATAAACATCTATAACTGTTGTACTTGATTTTAGCTTTTAAAAAATCATTGTACTCGGATAATATTTGGGTAAAATCCTTTATATTTTGTAAGTATATATAGTTCAAGAACATGGTTGTTATTAATACAAAGTATCAGTTATGATGACTACAAGTGATCATTTAAAAAAATCAAGAGTTCTATGTCTTTTATAAAAATGGTCGTTTAAGATTTTTATAAAAATCAAGAGTTCTATGTCTTTTATAAAAATGGTCGTTTAAGATTTTTGCTTTGTAGCATCATTTTCTTCTACGAACACAAGCTACAAACTAAGGTTTGAGTAAATTGATTATCAACCGACCCTAATTCAAAATATATATATAAAACAAATTAAGAGAAATTAACTTCCGATATATATACCATTTATTACAACAAATGGTCATTCTTATCAGCATAGATCATACAGTAAAAGCATTATGTTTTACAAGAAGAAACAACAATACCTGAAAAGGAGGAAGGGGAGGAGGTTGAAGAAGATGATCTGGAGGAGAAGGTCTAATGGTGAGAAATGACAAATTACTACAATGCCCACATTTCACTGTGACTGTATCCAGAAGTCTCTTGCATGGTATTCCTACCTGCAAAAATCATATTTATTAATTATTCACCATAAATGTGTGTGTCTGCTGTGTGCAAATATATACACACATGTTCACATATATGATAAACTTTTTCTTTGTATCTTTTATTATGTGTGCTTTCTTTTAATAAGATCTTATCGTGACTTCTTTCACTACAGAGATGAATAATCATAACCAAGCAATTGATATAATTGTTGATAAAGCAGTACCGCAAGAAGGGTATTGCAAAAGTTGCAACGAACGTAGCAAAGATGTTGATCCGAAGGAGCTGTTTGAACAGGCGAATCCATGCTTGCCACCCTCTCAGCTTGCACTTCAAAGTTCATGATCACACGAATGGAAACAATGATCGATGTGGTAAAGTCTTGATGTATTAATCAGTGATTATCAATATCAATAGAGATTGCACATGAAAAAGGATTCATTAGGGTTTTGATAGAGAGGAAGATATATAGGAGTGAAATGTAGGGCTAGGGAAGCTAGTTAGAGCATGAAAATGGATAAATTTAGGGTTTCTACAATGCATTCAGCAGTACATTCCTTTTTTGGTTTCCAAACAATTCACTTTTGCTCCATCCCTCTCGTATGAGGAACAGATGTGTATGTCAATATAATTAACTTCATTTGTTTTAAATATATTGATCTTAAGGTTATATCTTATACACGTCAAAAAAAAAATATATATATATTAAAAATTACTTAAATTTACAGTCGATGTCAATAAAAGTTCATTTATTTTCAAATATTTTAATGGAAAGTCGGTCGACATGCTTGCAATTATTTGCAACATCATAAATCCTTTTTAATTATTTAGGATTATTGTTTTAACAATTATTACAATTATATTTAACATATTAATTATTTTGAATGAATAGTCGATTTTAAAATAAAAATACAAATTTGGTTCAAGTGGTGTGACGAGCAAATGACATAATTTTTTCTGGCAGAATTACGTATATGTTATTGCTAAACATTTAAATATCGTATTTGTCCGGCTTAAATTTTAAATATCGTATTTGTCATTCTTAATGTTTTTTAATATCGTATATAACCAAATCTATTTGATAATTTTTAACATTTAATTATCCATTTTTATATTCTTTAATCAGTTAAATTAAAATAAAAAATGAATGGACCACAATGCCCTTTAATCTTAAAACCATTTTTCCTACCTGTATTGATCGGTCGTATTGCCTCTCCCTCAAATCCCTAAAAGCCTTGTGTCGATCAGAGTTTTCACGGTCTTCAACGAATTGCAAACTTTGTCCGCCTCCCGGAGAAACCGATCAAGGAAGAAGTCGCTAGAGATACCTACGCCTCACAGAGAAAGTTATGTGGTGGATGATGCTGGTGTTCTTAACAGGGTAACTAAATCCGATTTGAAGAATATGTTGTCGGATTTGGAGTACAATAAGAAAAATCGCATTAATTTCGTTACTATAGTTCCAATTGAATCGAGTAAATCAAACAAAATCAGAGTTAGAAATGATTTAGAACAAGAGATCTAAATATAATCTGTTTGGCACGTTGTATTGCTTGATTAGTTGAATACAAGAGGTTGAAAAAGAATACGATTACAATCAGGAAAGTTCTTAACCTCTAAAGTATCATTCCCATATTTATAGGGAAAATTGAAAGCACAAAAAGTATAAGGACTTCGACATCTAAGCTACGTTATAAAAGTAGTCCTTAAAATAAATGTACAATCCAATATTTCGACATTACAAGTAACAAAGATAATTTCGACATCTCACAACCTTTGAACCCCAACATTCTCCCCCTTTGTGAGAAGTGTCGAATCTAAGTCATTAACATCTGGATTGCTTGATGCATCGAACTTGTAATCGCTGCATACCAATTCATCACCATCTTCAATTCTGCCTTATCTTTCTGATTGTTCTTTTTACAGTTATTCATACGAACCATCAAGTTCATATAATGAGCTGTAGTAAATCTTTCGACGTCACAAGCTTGAAACAAATACTTCGTCTTTCTTCCCTTCTTTCTTCTTCCAACAAAAACTATTCCAAGTGGCTTTAGACAAATCTCTCCATCATCATAAGGCTGCAAATCAGCTTTACTCTTCAAAATTGATTGAGGAACAATTATCTCTTTGCCCATTGTCGAAGCTAATTTAACGTATGTCAAGGCTAAACAATCGAAATAATTGTCTATGAAAGTCTTGATATGAGCAAGACCCAGCAAATAATCTTCTTTACTTGTACTCTGAAGTTTCGTTTCATTGTTGACCTTAAGAATCTTCGTGACTGAGATCAAGTCATTCAGATTCATAAGAGGAAAGTCAGCAACAGTAAAGGTGAATTTGGTATTGTTTGCCCTGATCACATGATATCGAAAGTTTTGAAGTACACCCTCGAATAAAGCATCTTTAGATATATTCAAAACTCGAACTATCTTGATGAGTGACCACACTTCTTCTTCTTCTTTCCTAAGTACTGCATGAAATCAAAACTTTAACTTCTTGAACTCTTCCTTGTCATCAAACTTGTCAACAATCTGATATTGCGAAGTAAGATACATCATCTTGTTGATAGGAAAATCAAGCTGATTCAAATCTGAGTTATCAGTTGCATAACTCTTCTTTGGTTTCTTCTCAAAGTCATGTATTTCTCCATGAACTACCATAGCTTCAATATTCTCATAGCTATGTAGTTTTCTGGGATCACCTTTGTTCAGAGTTGGAGGATCACCCTGACGAAGTCTGAGAATACTTTGAATATGTCGTTGTTTTTCCATTTCAGCTTCAATCTCTGCTTTTCTTTCTTCCTTCGACTTTTCAACAACAATTGTTTTTCCTTTCCCTTTACTTGCTTCAGTGGGCATGGGCTTCGAAAATGAACTTGAACCACCAATAACAATCCCTTTTTCCAAAGGTCTTGTTGTTGTTGTTGTTGAAATTATTGGATTAGCCTTCATTGGCAGAGTTGTTGGAATTTGAGTTGTCAGGACTTTTCCCACAATTTTCACATCACCACTAACATCTCCACTTGACTTCCCAGAAGCTCATTCCCCTTTACTTACTCCAACCACCTTTATTTCTCCCCCTTGCACCCCTGTAACAATAGGTGGGGCATCCATTGGAAGTAAGTTCAACAATTTCGAAAGCGGAGCCAATTCAGAATGAATTGTTGACTCAAGCAGACGAAACTTCTGAGATAAAAACTCATGAGTGAATAGAGAAGAACTTGAAGTCGACACCATGGTCTTCAATTCACCCAACAATGCATCAATATTTCTAAAATGTTTCGTTTCCAACTCAGCATGTGCATCCATCTTCGGAAGCATAGAACTGTAAGATTGAGTTATTTTTGCTACAACCCCAACAATAATATCCACCTTCTCGAGCATTGGAGAGTAGCTATTTGTCACTTCCTGTAATTCCTTTGCCATGTCTGATCTTAACTCTTCAAGCTTTCGATTGACATCTTCTCGAACAGTTTTGACATCCTGAACAAACAGAACATGTCGTTGTTTGGCAATTGTTTTCAATTCCTTCAGTTCACCACTGAATGTCTCAAATTGAGCTTTGACCCGTAATTCGTTGTTTTTGTCAGACTGATCAATCTTGTTGAGAAGACGAAGCTCTTGGGCTTTTAACATAACATCCACTTCAATACCCGAAACTGAATGTTTGCCCCCTGCATCAGCTTGAAATTATAATAGAGAATTGAGCTTGCGATTTAAAATCTGGAACTGCTTCCCAGACATGAGCATGTTATCGGGAATGTTCTCCTCTTCAGGATCAAACTCGATGTCATCAAAAGAACCAACAAACCCACCATCATCAGTTTCATCATCAAGAACTGTTATGGGTTCTTCGGTAGATTGTGATGGGAATAAGGAAGTAATGGGTTGTTGCATAATTGTATCGAAAGTGGGAGAATGAGTAGATGAAGGGATATGAGATGTATTGGGAACAATGAACGGTGGTAATGAAAATAAAGTATCAATATTTGAGGTTTCGAAAGTAGATGATACGAAAAGAGAAGGGCTACCTTGGGCTTCATGTGTCGAAACTCCATCACCCTTGTTGACATTTACACCCGTATCATATACGTTTGTAGTGATGCCTAAGGTTTGAACCTCCTCATGAAATGATTCAGTATGCGAAACCTCGAGTGGTATGACCGTTGTCTGCTCACGAGTCGAAATATTTGGTTGTTCACCGTGATTGATGGTTGTGTCTACTTGAGAAGTGTTCACATTACCATCAAGATTTCCAGTCACCTCGAAAGTCGCCTTGACTAGAGAATCCCTCACAGGTGAAGAATGGCCCAGTATTATATCTGCAAGTGGTGTTTCAGGAACCACTTCTTCGTCATTTGAATCTTCTTGCAACACCGGTTTCCTTTGCTTCCTTTTTTTCTTTGAAATCTTCTTTGCCATATCTTCTGCTCTCCTTTTCTTTGTTTGTGGAGAAACAGGAATGGGTATTTCACGAATGAGAACACCCTTTCGACCAATATGTGGCTTTCTAAAAAATGAAGGTGAAATTTTTCCATACCTTTCAGGAGAATGACGAGGTTTATGAGCCATTTTCCTGAGTCGTTTGAGAACACCAGTCTTTGAAGGTACCACATCCTTCGAAGGATCAACATTTTCAGGAACAATAGGCTTTGATCTTTTCTTCGAAGCTTTTACTTTAACTGTGACCTTCTTTGGAGATTTAGCTTCTTTTTCAACTGGAACAATTGTAGAAGGGCTTGCCTGAGCTTCCTTCTTTGAACCTCTTCTCTTCTTCGAAGGACCTTCAGTTGTCTTTGTGAATAACACCCCAGTTTCAACATCAAGATTAATCGTAGTCAAATAATTCACCAACACAGGATTCATAGGATCAACTTTTCGAAGCATTGCATCTGGAATTCTAGCAACACTTGGAAAAATTTCAGCATCATCTTCAACAGTTTTAGGAAACTGATATAAAGCAAAACTAGCAGTTTCTTCGTTTTCAGGGACTTGAATACCCTCTTTGTTATATACAAACCGAAGAATAAGACTCCAGTATCGAGCACACGAGACCCCATCAACAACATTCGTATTTTCAATACTTTTGGTAAATTCTTTCCAAAGTTGTGTCGCATAATCCACCTGTAGATCATAGTAAATGCCAACCATCATAGCATACCCTTCCAATCTTCCTTTGTCTAACCCCACACTTCGACCTGTCAAGCATCGAAGATAAATTCCAAATAGAAAGTTCCAAATACACGGCAACCCCGATTTCTTGAACTCGCTGATCTTGGTGAGAGTAGGTTGATAACCCATCTCATTGAACATGTGAATTACTTGTTCATTCGAGACTTTGTAAAACGGTTCATAATTAGGGATGTTCAAGATTTGGGCGGACAACTTCTTTGACAGTCTGAACTTCTTGTCATTCGTCAATTGAAA